GGTAGGTGGGCGTCCCTTCCCCCACCAGAACCAGCCCCCCTTTGCACTCATGCCTGGCTTCTTCTTTAGAGCGGCTTTAGAGGGGGGGAGCATCTGCCTCAAAAGAGCCCTCCGCAAAGTAGGCTGTTTTCTCCCACTTCAGCCCCGTTCGGGTTCAGAGGGAAAAGCGAGAATCCACCTTCGCTATCAGGTTGCCATAGCGAAGCCGGAGAAGCGCCAGGCAGGGAGACAAAGTAAAAGACGTCGTCAGGGAGAACAGAAGAAACATCCAGCCCTTTGAATCTAACTCCCCACTTGAAGGGAACACTTCTTTTAAAAGGAAAAAATCTAAAAGAGTGGAAACACCAACAGCCAAACAAATCTTCTCTGATGCTTTGCTTCTGTTTGGATCTACCCTGGGCTCCCCTTTCCTTAGAAGCCCATTTAGACGGTTGCTTCAGCACTCTCAAATCTCCTCACATTTTCCCCCTGTTAGATTTGCTTGAGGTCACTTGTGGGAGAGGTGTGTGTGTAAAACGTCCCTTTGGCTCATTACGAGACTTCCCACGGTTCTGCATCATCCAAAAGGGCAAATGTTCTTAAGAAAAGAGCAGAAGAGGAAGAACCACCATGCCCTACACACCTGAGCCATCCGCCAGCGCCACATCCTCCGGTCCCTGGCGGAAGGAGGTGGACCTCTGCAGCGCTGTCCCTTTGGGCTGATGCTTGAAGATGGCAGAGGAGAGCTCCTCCAGGGTGCAGCCCAGCAAGTAGGCCGCCTTCTGAGCCCACTCGTGGCGGGCAAACTGCTTCCTCCCGGCTGCAAAGAGGAGAGAAAGAGGGTGTCTCACCTGATACCGGAGGGGAGACTCTCCCCCTGCTGCTGCCCCACCACCACCCACAACCCTGTGGCCGGCCCAGTGAGGACAGGAAGTCATTGCCAGAGGAGACCCCAATGGTTCTTCCCACAGAGGGAGGCACAGCATCTTCAGCAAGTCCATCTTCCTGTCCTCCTGATTAACGAAGAAGCCTCCCTCGCCCCACCTCCCAGGGACAGGGGAAGTGTCCAATTTCTGGCCCATGGAAGCGGAGGCAGGAAAGAAAATTTCATTAGGCGAGGGGCTGCGCTTTGGGGGGGGCTCCACGAGACCCTGCTGCCTGGCCTTGTCATTTTTCACACAGTGTGGAACTAAACAGCCAGAAGGAAGAAAAGGAAGGAGGGAGGGAGGGAGGCTGAGAGGTGGCTGAGCGAGAGACATAATGAAAATGTATTTAGGAATTTGATAAGGGGAGATTGGAGGTCAACAGTCTCATACTTCAGCTGGGCTAATGGTGGCAGTGAGCTATGGTGGGAGGTGGGGAGAGTCTGAGGTGAATGGGAGAAAGGAAACCCTCTCCTCCTTCGCAGGAAAAGAGACTAGAAATGGGGCGGGGGGGGAGAGGTGGGAGATGCGAGACAGCAAAAAGACAAAGCAGAAGAGGATTCCAGAGGGTGGCAAGGAGGCGCAATGATTTTTTTCCCCTTAGAGCAGAGCGCCACTTTCCCTTCGACCCTGACAGGCTGCAAGATGAACGGAATACTCAGTTCTCTGTTCCTAACCTTCCAAGATTAGCAACACAAGAGGGGAAGACGACAGCTGGAGAGCTGCTCTTTCAGCCATTTCTGGGCAGCTGCTTTGCAGGACGCCCGAGAACACCAACCTTTCCCCTGCTGGGAACCATCCACACGTTGGCGGCTGTGGCTGTCCACACCCCCTGGCAAGCCCTCGCTGGGAATCACTCCAAGGAGTGACCCCAAGAGGAAGCCCTGGAAATAATCCTCAGTTTGTGGGGCCAAAGATCCAGGCAAAAAGAGTGAGCCCAAGATCACGATCCTGTGGGACTCCCTGCCCAATGGGAGTCAGCTTTTGGGGTCAGGGAGGTAAGGAGCTGATCATGGGAACCCCACAAATGGGACGAGGATGAGCTAACCATAGGCATGCCACAAAATGCAACAGACAGAAGTGTGAAGAAGTGGAAGAGGCCAGGCCCAGGAGGCAGGCAAAGTCAGAGAGAAAGGCGTTTCGGGGGAGGGGAGAGAGGTTTACCTTCGTCGCCGTCTGGATTGCAAAGGGAAACAGCATGCACCATGCAAACACAAAAAGAGGGAGTTAGAACACAGCTGTGATGGCCAAGCTTCTTGCAGAGACTCTGGGTGAGACAGAGGTGCACAATCCACACACACGCATACACACATATACTAAACTGGCACATTCCAAGTTGGGGTGGCAGGAGTGTAAAGGGGCACCTCAGGGGAAAGGAGACCAGAGTGCATTGCAGCCTTTGGCCTCAATGGCTTGAGGGGTGTTCCTCCAGACTTCCCTGTGTGTGGGAAGGGAAGGAACCATCACTCGCCTCTAACAGAGTCTTAACGTTGCTGTTTCTTAAAAGCGTTTATAACCTGGGTGCTGATAAAGATGAGTCGTTAAGTGATCTACGCCATGACACTTAACCTTTGGCTCTCCAGTTCTGTGCTGGGCTTCCACTCCCACAACCCAACCATTCGGCTAGGCTTGCTGGTTGGGAGCAGAAGTCTCAAAGGTCAAGGGCCAAAGGTGTGGTTTAATGTAGCCCCTGCTTTGCAAGAGAGGGTCACATTCTCCCCGACCCACAGAGGAAGGGCCACCACAAGGACAAAACACACTCTTTCCCTCTCTCCTTCTTTCTCCCTCGCACACAAACACACATACCACTCCTACACAGAGTATTAGATCATGCACACACCCTTCTCCTGAAAAAAACATGGGCCAGCAACATGTTGCTGCAAGTTGCTGCAGGCCACGCAACATCAACACATACCAAGGATCACCACAAGCCCGCTGACACAATTTGCTCTACATGGCAGCCCCTGCGCATGTGCTGAACACGGCTGCCAGGTTGCCCCCTTTCGGTAGCGTCTGAACAAGGGCTGCCGTCTGCAGGCTGCAGGCTCCAGGCACAGACAGGTGGACCATTTTTTAGTTCATGAGGCTGGGGCAGAGGAATGAAAACAAACCAACCCTTTCCCCCTCTTCGGAGTCAACATCTTGGTGGCATCCGTACCGGCGGAGTGTCATTTCTGCCCATATGGAGCAGGAGCCCACTCCAGATGGCACGCCATGACCAGCTGAAGGCCTGCAATGCCACCAAGCCGCCCGGCCTCTCCAAGGATCTATCGGTGGAGGGCCGACCCTGGCCGCTGAGAGCTTGGAATACAGCCCTAAAGGGGTGTCGTGTGCATGTCGTCCAACCCTCAACCCAGCTGGCTGCAAGATGCTTCTCCACCAGAACGACCACCTGGTGCTGAATTTGCTGCAGCCAATAACTACACCTGGAACAGGTGCTAAAGGGGCAACCCGCCATGATGAAATTATCCATCTTTAAGAGCTTCCTTTCATTCATTATTCTTCTTTTTGTCACGTACACACACCCCTTCCCCCCCCATACACACACACACAAAAAACAAAGCCTGGAGTTCTGCAGGGGTGGAGAAGGTGTAACAGGCTTTGTTGGACAAGACCTGTCACACCTTCAACCGGGGTGAGGAAGGATTCAGAAATGGAGAACCTCTGAGAGGGGGTCGGACCCTGTAAGGCCCACCACTGAATAGGCAGTACGGCCAGGGGCCATGTGGGCTCAGGAAGCGTGGGAGTTGCGGATCACCGAAGCAAACCCTTTCCCCATCTCTGGAACGGTCAGGGCTAATGGCAGCTGGAGCACAACAGCAGCTGGAGAGACACTGGACCCTCCAGCTTGCTCTGGAAGTGGTCAGATCTGACTCTTAGAAAAGGTGCAAAAGGGAGGAGGGCTGAGGAAAAGTCCCTCTCCATCTGCCTGCTCCAAGAACCAGGCTCAGGGCAAGGTCTGGAATTTGTGAAGGGGGGGGCAGAGGGATCCATGCTCCCTGAACTGTAGGAAGAATGGTTACCCTACCCTCTTAAAGAGCCCAAGGCACACAGACGCAGACACACAAACACCCAGACACACGCGCGCACACATGGACAGAGACAGAAGCTGCTCCAGAGACACTCTCCGCTCTCTCTCCGGCAGGGTGCTAAATCAACTCCGCTCGTTACCTTTGGTGGCTCCTGCTGCCCCCAAGTGATAAATGGCGCCCAGGATGAGCCAGCAGGCCTTCTGCTCATCGCTGGAAAGGCCCATCACTTTCATGGCTGCCTGGAGCTTGCTGAACTGCTGGGCTGCCTTCTGCTTCTCCTCCGGCTGCAGCCAAAAAGGGGAGGAAATAAAGAATACGACCAATTGGCCGGTGCTAAAAAAACAGAACGCCTTTTTTATCGCCACTCCATAAATGCCGTCTGTCAGCAGCCGGGTCAAGAGGGATGTGGCAGTTCTGCCCTTTCCTGTAGCCTTTAAAGAGGGCTGAGAGCCAGACTGGCAGGCCCTTGTGAGACCTCACCCACCCAACCCTGCTGCCCAAGAGGGCACCCTGCGGCCTCATCGTCTCTTCACCCCCCCACACACACACACACCTGGGATGCTTCACAGAAGTTCCCTTTGGGAGGATGAACTAGAGGCCACGTTTGACTGAAAGACCCTGCTAGCTGACATCTCTCCCTCCCCCACAACACAACAAAGGAAAGTTTTTCTAATCTCGGACATGAGGCAGGAACCCTCCCTACATCTCTGTTCCGCAAAGTTCGATGGTTCTGCACCATATCCCATCGTGGAACGAACATTCTGTCCAGACAGGCCAGGCTGAAAACAACTGCTTCTCTCCCCTCTCCAATTATATGGAAGGGAGGGGGCTTTCACCAAGACTTCTAGACACCCCCCAAGGCCTTGCCAGGGTTTGCTGACAACCCCCGCCCCCCCCAAAAAAAAGAACCTGCAGCAGGAACAGCAATTGGACAAAAGGGGGGCAAAAATTAAACCCCTACCCTTCAATGCTGAGAGGTTACCTTTGAGAGAGGGATGGTCCCAAAGACGTTGTTTTCGGCCAAGTGGTTGAAATGGAGCTCCGTCCTGGGAAGGAGAAAAGGAGGAGCAGCTGAAGGAGATGTCAGAGGGCCCTGCCCGGTGGGTGCCGGACGTCCTCCTTTGCTCTCCCCTGCTCCAGAAAGGCCGCTGGTGGTTTCTGCTCAAACCAAATCCAGAGCGGAGGAAAGTTCCTTTGGGGGATTAAAGCTCTGTCTCGCTAGGAGATCCTGGAAACCTTTCCGAGATCACCGACCAAAAGGCTCACATGAGGGCTGACGGTGAGGAGCGCCAGAGGCAGCCCTTGTCACACCTCCTTCCGCACCCTCTCAGTGGGCATCCCCTTGCTGGCTAGGTGTTCGGTCGGCAGTGGCTCTCCATGCCCAGACGGCAGGACTGCCTCCGGCTCATGCCGACGGCACACAGGCATCCTTACCGGAGGGTGCTGTCCGGACACGCTAGCAGGTAGTAGAATACGTTGAACGTTGCCTCGTTCACGGGGCGCTTGGCAACCCTGAGCTTCTCAAGCAGCATCGTCTGAGGAGGACGACAAGGGAGAGTGGCATGAAAAGGCATTTACAGGCAGGGCTGGAGGGAACCCTCTGAGGCCTCGACCAACAGAGAGACAGACGAGCATTTGCGATGAGATACGGAAGGGCAACAAGGAACACCTTTGCCCCTCACCCCTCTCTTGACCTCACCTGTACAGAGGCAGAGGCCACCTGCCCGGCCTGGTCGAAGTCCAGGGAGATGATCTGGGAGAAGCGGGTGGCGTTGCTGTTCAAGCTTGTGCCGCTGTTGCCAAAGGCCTCCAGGACTGTATAGAGCGCCTGCCACTTTTCCACTGCCAAGGCACAAGCAAGGAGACGCGTGCAAGGATGGAACCGGTGGCACCCCATGCCCACACGGACCATGCCCCCCTCTGGCCATAGAGCCTGTGGGTTCTCTCTCTCAAACACACACACACACACACAGAGCTACAGGTTGGATTGTGGTTCTGCGACATGCAAAGGCCTGAACTCTAAGAGTGAAGGGTGCAAAACAGCTAGAGGCAGGCAGCAAACCCTGTGAAGGTTGTGCCAGGGAGGTCAAAAGGGCAGAATATTGGGAAGGCGTGTGGCGAAACCCAGACAAGCCTCTTGCCTAGGAAGGGAAGGAGGAAAGCTGGCATCTGGGAGTGGTGGGAGGGAGCAGGAAGAAGGCTGAAACCGTGCACAGACGTCAGCAGACGGAGAGCTAGCAGGGCCAGCGTTTTCTTTTTATTCCGTCCGCCACCACTCAGCCCAGCCGACATGAACTCTGGAAGAAACCCGCGAGGTCCCCACCCACCTGAGAAGACCTTCCCAGAGCTGCCAGCCACGGTGGCCAGGTACTGCACCAGATGCTGGCAGTTGGTGGTCTTGCCGCTGCCGCTGCCACCCAGGAGCACGATGGACTGGTCCTGGCGGCTCATCAGCATGTTCCGGTAGGCGGCCTGGGCCACGGCGTAGATGTGGGGGGAGGTGTCCTCCTTGCGGCACCCCTTGAACATGTGCATCACCTGGTGCGAGGGGAGGGAGCAGCAGCACGGTGAGCAGGGAAGGAGGCTCCCCCAGGGCTTGGGAAAGCTCCCTCTGGGGGCCAATTTCAAGGAATGGGCCACTCCCCAGACCCACGCACCCGCCTGCCCTCAGTGACACCGCTCACCTTCTCCGAGTACATCGAGGGCGAGCTGAGAGGATTAATGACGACCAGGTTGGGCCCAGCGTAGGTGTGGATGAGGTTCCCCCCGTAGCGCTGGCGCAGCGTGTGCAGGACGCTGGACTCGTTGAGATAGACGAGGCTGGCCAGGTCCTCTGCGCGGTCACAGGACGGCGGATTGGCCTGGGGAAGAAAGAGAGAGGGAGAAGTTGCGGGGGGGGAGGATTTGAGGGAGAAATGCCGTCAACTCAGGCTGGTCGCACTCTCTAGGCCAGGCCTACCTCACAAGGTTGTTGCGAGAATAAAGGGGAAAGGAAGACAGCCCTGCCTTGCCAGGATATCAAGGCAAGACGAAATGCACAGTAAAACTAGGAGAAGCCCATTCCCCACTCCAGGCAGGATCCAACCATCCCTGCCTGGCTCCTGACCTTCTCCACATCATCTTCATCGACCTCCAGTAGGGCTCCATCGTAGTCCAGCTTCACCTTGACCTTCCCCTCGGGTAGCAGCCCGGCCACTGCATCCGTCTTCAGCTGGCTGGCTGTGGGGAAAGGTCAGACCGAGGTTCAAACGTTGGCAGGACAAAAGACCCCCAGACACACACAGAGACCCAAGGATCCCTCTACCTCCGGAGCCAGAGTGACACTGCCACCTAGTGGCCCCACCAAACCCAACACCAGCGAGCCCACCAAGAGAAGCCCCAGATCTAAATCCCACTGCCCGTTCCAACGAGAGCAGGCTCACTGAAATCTTCAGAACTTGATGCATTAAGTTCCACGGATTCACTGGGCCTACTCTAAGTGAGACAAACAAGCAAACTGATGCCGACAGCCTTTGGAAGGCTAAGCATTCATTCTTCCTCATCACAGAGCTTGGGACTTCTCCTATCTGGGCTACAGCCCTCAGCCAGCATGGCCAAATCTCCATGGAGATTCAGAGACTTGCAATCCAGAAGAAGTAACCTTTCCAAGCTCTGCAAGATCGCGCGGGGGGGGGGGGCAAAAAACTACTGAGCCCCCCACCCCCTCGCAAATACCTGGGATACTTTCTCTAAGTGGCCATTCACAGCTGCCAGGTTTTCCAAAGTCCTTCCACACTATCTATTATGGCATTCAACCACACACTGTCATTATATCCAACCCAGCCCACTCCCGCAGAGCAGGAAACCAGGGAGGGTCAGCCTCCAGGGACCCAGAGATCATGGATGCTGCCCTCTGGCCTACCCCTGCGCTGACCCCTCTTCAAGAAGCAACCCAGAGGGGCGAGAGCCTCCCCATGGCCCTAAGCAAAGATGTTAAAAGGAAGCCCCACACTGCACAGGCCACGCTACACACGGCGGCCGCTCACTTACCTAAGGAGAAGCCATCCTTGTGGACCAGCCAGACTTTATCTGTCTCATACCAGGCCTCTTCAGCTGCAACCTGTTCCTCCGTTTTGGCCTGCCATGCAAATCCCGGGGGGGGGGGGAGGTGTCAGAGGGGGTGGAATAAGAGAAAGCACATCACTGCTACAGTCCCCCACATGAACAGTGCCACTCTGAAGGAGGGTTCTGACCACTTCCCAACACCAGGCCTGGGAAAAGTTTCTTCTTTGGGCTACCCACACACACCCTCAACACACGCACACACCTGTCAGCCACTTCCAAGAAAATGAAAAAAAAAAAAAGGTAAATCTCTTGAGCTCTGCTGAGCACATGCATCTCAGTAAGACAGCGGAGGAGCACTTCAACATAAAAAGAGAAACTGCTCCCTCTCCCGGCTCACTGTTGTGAGCTGAGGCAGATCATCTGTAACCTTGAGCCTAACCAAACCCACTGCCTGTAGGTCCTGTCGTCAGAATCATCCACCACTACCACAGCATGATCCAGGTCCACTTTTAATCTGCAAATTATTCTCGAGCTGCTGTACACAAAAATTAATTACAACGTTTAAATGCTGCACAGAAATGCTGCTTTCAAAAAGCACTCTCAGGGGCTGAATAATCATCAGCTGGGAATGAATCCCCTTGTCTCCGTCTGACTGAATATTGATCTTGGGGATTTGTTTCCCTTTGCCTTCAGAAGACAAGAAAGCTTAGGCCAAATAAATGGTGCTGGATCTTTAAAGTAAAGGAAAGACTCTTGGTTCTTATGAGCAGGGGTCTCACACCCCACCCCAACCCACACATGCAATCACTGGGGCCCAGTATTCTGATTTCAGTGGAAGGATGTGTTCAGAGGGGTGGGGGAATAAAAGGCAGATCCATTTTCTCCCCCTACACAGCAAGCTGCACGTTCTCAGTACGGCCAGCAATGAATCAGGAGCATGAAATGAAGGCATTCACTGTCCTCTCCCTCTCTCCCTCCCCCAAGGCCCCTACCGGCCCTCCAGCAGACTCCAAAGTGGGATTTTTTGGGGGGGGGATTGGGCTGGACACAAAAGGTGAAAAAAGCCTTACACTCCAACATGTGGCGCGAGCACAGACATCAACCCAAAGGCAGACGGGAGGTGGAGGGAGGTCTGGCGCACTGGGGTACAGTACCTGGCTTGGGGCAGCCGTGGCGGTCACAGGCTCCGGCTAATGCAGCAAGGTGAGAGAGAAGAGAAGAGGAAGGAAAGAGAAGAGGAAGAAGAGAAAAAGGGAAGGAACAGAAAAGAAAAAGAAAAAGAAAAAAGAGAGGTACCAGTAAGTACTGTAGTGAGTCAGAAGAACAGGCAGCAAAAGGAAAGGGTAGCATGCATCCACAAAATTTTTAAGAAACCAGTAGGAAGAGGGGGGGAAAATCAGAGAGTAAATTTCTCCCAAGTGTCCTGTTCCCTAGCGGCTGCAGGGACACCCACACCCGGACTTCCCGCACTCCAGGCCCACCCAAATGTCTTGAAAATGTGGTGACAGAAAAGAACTACTGGCTCTGAAAGACTGGGGCATACAGGCAGAGTTGTCCAGTCAAACGCTCATCAGTTTACTAGCCTGACCAATATAGAAGGCTCAGTAAAAGGGAGCAGACACTGGAGTCTGTTAACACCAGGAAAACCTGCACAACCACAAAGATTTCAAACCAACTTAATGAAACTGTTTCTTGATTGGTTCCTTCGTTTCAAAAGGGCTAATGACCCTCAATTCCTGACCCAACGAGATCTTCCGCCAACATCCAGGACAGGAATTATTACATTTTTTAAATTAATATTTGGCAACATGATATTGAGAAAAAGACAGACAACAGCCATGGCCAAATATTGTGGCACACACAGACACACACCGGGGTCCAGGGGATACCACAAAAGTGCAAGCTTCTCAGTATCAGCCTAATGTCCATTCCTGCGTCCAGCTCCTCGAAAGGCCAAACGATAAGTTACAGGTCAGCTGTCATTAGAGCTGAAACCCTGTAATTGTACCAGAGCCGTGACGTGAAAAGACCTTTGGGAGTAGGAAATCAGAACTATAAACAAAAGGAGAGCATCATGCATATTGTCTTTGACTACACAAATCGAGGCAGTCAGATTTTTCCATTTCGAAGAACGCCAAATGGGCTTTCTTCCCAGAGACACTGGAGAGGAACCTTTGGTGAGGAAGGTGGGCAGGATTTTAAGAGATAAATTTTCTCTCTGGAAACTACAAGGATTTGCAGTTCTTGCCAGTGCTGCCCTGTGTGTTGGGAAGATAAGAAGCTGCTTAAGAATGGGTCAGGACATTGGTCCATCCACCCCAATACGGCCAACTCTGACTGGCAGCCGTGGCTCTCCTGTATTCCAGGCAAGGTCTTTTGTTTGTTTGTTTGTTTTAACCAAGCCTTCCTGGTGGTCTTCCATTCAAGGGCAAACCCACTGCAACCCAATTTAGCATCCAAAATCAGGAGAGGCTCAAGCGTTTTCAGGGAGGTACAGGGGTACCCTACACACCAGCTAGATTGGGTAGAAGAGACAGGAAGGAAACAATGGCATACCCGTTGCCTCACAGCTCAGCACTCTGCTTAGGCTGTTGCTTGCTCAAGGAAAGAGTTTATAGAGAACAAGGAGGCAGATGTTCTGCTGCCCTTCCTTCCAGGGCAGCTTACAAGACACCCATGGCTGCTCCACAGCTGTGCATTAGTCACACATAGACAGAGAGAACCTCCAGCTACTTCTCACAAAGCTAGAAGTTTCTGCAAAGTTTCGGTAACCCTCTCCACCACTCTGCACAAAAGCACACTTTTGTCCGCCTCCAGCTCAAGACACACCTGATGGGCGGGTTCCTTTCCAGGGGTCAAGAAAGGCCGCGGCTTCTCAGGAGCCTCAGTCAGCTGGCACTTCTCCTTCGAAGGAGCCAGGATGACAGACGCAAGAAGACACGGTCAGAAGATGTTTCAGAAATGCAACAACGCATGTTCCCTCCCTTCAAAAATGCACCCAAAGCCCCAGGCTGCACACTAGGCTTGTCCCACGTGGGAATGGCATGAAGGTTAGGGTGGGGGAAAAAGACATGTTTTGAGTCATCGTGATATTGTAGACGAGCCCACACTACGTCCCGGCCAAATGTCTCTCTTCTTCTCCAGAGATGAACTTTGGGTAGAAATCATTCCATAAATCTCAAGCAGATACCAGCTGGGCTCCAAGTGATGTCACCAAGAAACCCCCTTGACCTCCACAATTAATTACTTTGGAAATGTATAACAATCTGTACAGCACTTTTAAAAATTAACAAAGACAGGCAATCCATCTAAGAGACTGGAAAAAGGGATGGCTAAAGACAAGGCCGCATTCAGTTAGCTGGGACAGGTGCCCCTTACTTCAGCTTAGCAGAGACCCAAAGTTCCTTTTTTAGACCAGAATTCCCAGAATCCACCAGCCAGTTTGGCTCGTTCTGGGGGTTTTAACCTAAAAACGGGACTTCCCCACCCCCCTGCTCTGAAGTCTCGTCTTCTCTCAAGACATTATGCCCACGATGCCCATGCTTAATCAAGCATTTCACACCAGACAATGTTAGCATTTTCTAGTTAAGTGAGATAAGCTTCAAGGCAAAGTGGAAAAATTAGAGGGGCAGATGAGCCGAGTCAGTTGCATTGTATGATGGCAGGAAATGAGAGAAGGCCATGCTCCAACCTCCACCTCCAAACCAGGAAGTTAGTATCAGTTCTCAAGCCAGAAAGCAGGGCTATACTCCCGCCCAGTCAGGCATGCACGGTAAAGAGGGAACACTCCACAGCTTACAGGACTGAAAAACAAAAACTTCCCATCTCTAATTCTGAACTCAGCCTGAACAAACAGCAGATTATCTTTCGTCCAATCCATTCTAGTTCCCCCCAGCAAAGAGGAAAAAGTAGTATTCAAGGCCCACTCAGGCTGCCCCTGAACAACAGGGCTGGCTCTACCATGGGACAGAGTGAGACACCTGCCTTGGGCAAGAGAGCCACGTTAGTATTAAAGCTCATCGACCACGATGGCCACCAAAGGGGAGATATTTTTGTGTGGTTTCTCGTCCCACGTGCCAATACAACTTGGCCTACTTTAGTAACGGCCCTTCCGCACGCGGGTTGTGGCAGTCAGTCCTCCCTGCTCTGCTTGGGGGAACCCCATTTCCTGGGCCAGACTTCCCAAACCAAGCTACAGATCCAACTCCCCTGGTCTGGCAGATTCTCCAATTTCACCTGGACCGGCCTGCTCAATGCAGCCATCACAACTAGCAGCGTTGCACTGCTGTTTTGTTAAGAAAGTGGAGGACGGTCACAGCTATTTTCTGTGATTGCAGAAGCATATGGACCGCCCCAGGAGGAGAATAAAATGGACAACACATGCACCAAGCTGAGGGAGAGACCCTTGTGAGGAGAAGCACCTTGGTGTGATAAAATCCACAGCGCGCATGCGCACATGCACACACGCGCACACAGACACACAGAGACACTCCATGCACTGAGCATCAGGCCTTCACCAACTGCAACCAGCTAGGCATCCCTTCCAAGGTGAACAACACAGCCCACTGTGCACTTCAGCCTCATGCGCCGAATGGCCATGGCCTCGATGCCCTAAGACTACCTTGTCTTCGTCTGTGCCTGCTTTGGCTGTTGACAGCTTGGCTAGCTCTGCCGACGGCGGCCCCTTGGACTCCCAGGTGGTTCCTTTGTTCACTGTGACCCCTTCTGCAGCAGGCAGGGGACTCTTTGTCTTTTCGGGGGGGTTTGCCTCTTCCTTCCTCTCCGACAGCCGGGATCGGGGCCTGTGCTCTTTGCTTCTGCCTCTGGACATCAGGTTCTTCAGCCCCGTCGAGAGGTCATCCTTGGGAGCCGAGTGCTTGGGCTCAGGCTTGGAGGAGACCAAAGAGGGCGGCCGAGGGGATGGAGACAGCATGCGTGTGGGTGGCGAGGGCGGCCGAGGGGATGGAGACAGCATGCGTGTGGGTGGCGAGGGCGCCTTGGTGGGAGGCTTCTCCTCCTTTTTGCTCGGCTCTGGGGATTTGAGGTCTCTCGGCGTCTCCTCCCCGGGAAGGACTTTCCGCACCACTTTCCGCACCACCCTGACCACCCTTTTACGTGAGAGGCCCTGGGCGTCCTCACCGACAGACTCGGACTGAGGCCCTGGAGCCCCTCCCTCCTGGCCATTCATGGCTTGGCCGGAATGCTGGGCGTCCCCGTTGAGCAGTGGCGGCTCCGGGCTCTTCACCCTTCCAGGGCACTCGGGGGGCTCTGGGCTCTGAAGGTTCCGGGGCTCTTCCTTTCCCGCACTCACAGCATCTGACTATAGTCACAAATGTATATATTCAAGCATCTACCAAGGTTTCACCAAAAACAAAAGGAGGTCCCCACTCCAAAATTAAGACAGGGATTGGCAAACCACAGCCCAGGGGCCAAATATGCCCCAAAGCCTCCAAGCGCCTTTTTCTTTTAACCATAAAAAGCGGCTTCTTTTCCCAGAGATTTCCAGGAAGGGCAGTTTGAATTCTGGGGAGCACATAATGACCCTCAGTTCCAGTTATTTCTCAGCATTTCCAGGCCTAGTGCAACCTTCCCAAGCCTCCCTACCCA